TCCAATAAAAATTTCCTTTGCAACTTATGTCCATTTTCTCTTCTCTTTTTACTGTGTTTCTTTTGAAGATACAAAGCTCTTATTTCTAAACWTTTCAGTAGCTGAAGACAACCACAAGATTCTTCTCTTAACTTTCTCTTAAAACTAAACCAATCTAGTTTTGTCCCTTATACATCTTGTGCTCCGGCCCCCTCGTCATTTTGGCTGTGCTCCTCTGGACTGCTCCAGTATCTCATYTCCTTGGACTTGGCAGCCCAAACCTCTGCAGTGTTGCAGATGTCATTTCATGGGTTCCAGCGAGGGGATGGTGGCTTCCCTTGACCTGCAGGTTGGTTGATTCGCTGCAGTCCTCCTAAGTACAGATCCATATGTGGTAGAGCTTCCTTGCCCCGGGACACTCTGCTAACTCATATTTAACTTACTGTCAGTGAGGACTTCCCATATTGATTTGTACAAAGATAGTAGGAACTATGTTGACACTTGTAATGCTCTGAAAATGCAAGTAGTGCACAAGGACTATTCAAGTCAGATTTACACGATCCCATAATATGAAAGATCTTCTAAACTGAAGTGTGTCAGTGAAGGACTTCTGAAGCCTGTCTTCCATAAGGCCTCTGTCTCTTAGACGTTTTCTCACTCCATTCCTTTCCTCCACCTTACATCTCCTTTCTTTTCTTCCCACGCAAATGCCTTCTAGACTTTCCCACCACTTGCTTTCTGGAGCCAAGGGACAAGTCTGAGCTTTGGCTTGTGGTGGTTGAATGGTGGCCTACCCGTTGCCAGGTGCAGGCAGAAGAGCCGAGTTCTGCCTCCCCTCCTGGCAGGAACACAGGTCTGTGTCTCCTCCGAGCCCGACTTCCACTTCCAACTATCGTCAGTGTTGAGACTCCAGCTCCTCTGTCAGAGCTGAAATTGCACAAGGCTTCAGAAGTCACTAAAGACGTGGGAAGTGGTTTCAGGGGTTCTATCGAGCTTGTTTGCCTAGGAAACCATTTTGAAAAAATGCTGGTTTGAAAACCACTGATTATAGGSCTCTCTTATGTAACACAAGACCATGTTAAGCAATTGTCATATTTGCAGATCTGAGTAAGTTATATTTAGTAAGTAATCGTTAAATTAGTGGGGATTTTCTGTATTGAGTCAAAATTTTAAGAAGGTTGCTCCTTTAATATGTAGTTCCTCCACATCTCCACRTCTCCAGGTGAGGAGCAACTTCTTTACTGTKAGGGTGACAGAGCAGTGGAACAGGCTGCCCAGGGAGGTTGTGGAGTCTCCTACTCTGGAGGTCTTCAAAACCYGCCTGGATGCCACCCTGTGCCACATGCTSTAGGTGTGCCTGCTTGAGCAGGAAGGTTGGACTAGATGATCTSTAGAGGTCCCTTCCAACCTTAAATATTCTGTGAATCTGTGAATCTCACTCAGCAGTTATATACATGCAACTAAATAGTCCATACGCAAACACATCTCATTTTCAAAGAAAGTAGATCTTTTAGTGCAGGATCTTTGTAATCCATAGGCAGGAGTCAGCACAGTCATTGTGTTCAGGTTTTGATTTGTAGAATGAAAACTTCTCGAGTGTTTCAGTTGAAAGTCGCAAAGACTGGGGTTTATTTTATTTTATTTTATTTTATTTTATTTTATTTTATTTTATTTTATTTTATTTTATTTTATTTTATTTTATTTTATTTTTATTTTTTCTCCTCTGAGGGTAAACACAAAATCTTAAAATAAATTGTAATGAGAAGAACTTTTCAAAGTAATGTGAAATGGCTTGTTTGTATATCCCAAGAGCCAGTCAGTGAAACAAGACTTTTAGAACATGATGTACTTTGTATTGAAAATAATAATTATAATTAACTGTTGAGGAGATTCCCTCGTATGGAAGTTTCAGTGTATTGGAGGCATCAAAATATAATTCGTAAGGCTGAGAGTGTRTGTTTTGGAATATCTGATGAAGAATTGGCCTGAGCAGCTGAAGTACATTTTTGTTTGACATTTGTTGCATTTTCAGCTTTGCTGCCTAAATTRGGTATGTTGTGTATTGGATTTTTCTAATATATCTGAAGAATTTGAGCTCTAAGTTTTTTGGGTAGTGGAAATTAATGAAATGCTTGGTTAGGAGATGCATAGCATTCATATATATACCTGGCTTAAAATTTATACATTTTTAGTTGTTTGTAGGACAATAATCCCAGTGYAAGGTTGGAGTTATTTTGAAAAATGTAAATTAGTAATTTTTCATCATCTTCCTGTGATAGATAATTTTCTTCCTGAAATATCTTGTCTAGGGCATTAGCACACCACACTTCATAATTAAAAAATAAATCTTGTGCCTTTATGACGTTTAAATGCTCATTGAAATACATGAGGAATTTTAGATTACAAATAAAGCATTCAGTGACTTCTGAGTTCATCCCTTGTACATATGTACTGAATCAACTAAGGACTGGGAAAACTGAAATGCCAACAGAATGGCACAATATTTGTAGTTGCTCTATCAAAAAAAGTGGGTATTTGTAGGAGATGAGTCTTTTGGTTTGTTTAACAAGACCTGTTTTGCATCATCTGAAACTGTGAAACATATTACATTAAATGACAAAATTGAGAGGAGGGAGGAGAGCAAAAATTACAGTCTTTATAGATTACACCAAATCTTTATCTTTGTGGTCTGTCCATAAACCAAACAGAAGTATGTAAAGGATGTACTTTACATTTGAAATAACGTATCCATGCAGCTGCAAGCCACTTTGGCCATATCCTTCCATATCCTGGACATTTTTAAAAGTTACCACTTGTCACCTTGGCTACATAAACCATTAATTCATTTACAAGAATCCACTGCAAAAATACTCCTCTCGAGGATTAAATTATGAATATAGAGCTGAGTGGTCATTGTGTTGTTGACCAGCGCTGTGTGCTGCGGCATCACCTGGTTCAARCTGGGGCCCGTTTGCAGCAGCTCTCAATTGCCCCAAAGCGCCACTGCATTCTGGTGCAGGATGGAGTTACYGTGTTCCCTACGCCCACACTTTGGCTCCTCCACCTGATGGATACCACCTTTTTTTAATGTAGTAAAATAGCTATTACTGTCTTTCCATCCCTCAATTTATGCTTCTGCTCTAGAAGACTTAGTAGCTGGTAACTTAAGGGTTGTTGCAGGAGAAACTGGCAGGTGAAGGGACGACTTCCAGGTTAGTTCCTCTGTGTCCTTCTGCTCAGCTTCAGCTGGGACCGGTGCTTGGCACGACCTTCGTTGCCTTGAACTGTGGTCTCTCCCTCCTCGTGCTGTTCTGCTTCGTAACATAGGTTTTTACACTGTGGTCTAGTGTCAGTGGAGTTGCTTTTACAAGTCAAAGTATGATAGGTGGTAAAAGGTGGTGATGTAGAGCCTTGGAAATGAGGGGTACTCTGTGAGCACCCGTTGTGTGCAGCATATGCCAGTTATAGATGCATCGTTCATGGGTTCAAAATAAAACAGTTGCCTACTACAGTTTGAGTCTACGTCGTGTTTCATGTTGCAACTACTTGTCGAAAGTCAGGCATCTGACTTTCATTCAGAAAAAAGAAATATATGTACCAGACTTCAATAGCTCTAAACTTAAAATTCTTGGCTGCTTTGGAGTCAGCTATTAAGAGAAACTGAGAAGAGTGGAATTTTACTGAAATGCATTATTTGCTTCTCTCCTTTCCCCCAAACAAAACCATTTTTTCTTTTAGTCTTGTTGAAGAACAACAGTTCGCTAGGTATATTATAAATCTACATTTTCTRTTTTCTCTTCCCTGCCTTCCTTTCAATTAGGTAATGCTGACCTGTACAATTTAGACCAAAATTCAGTGTCTCCGCATACAGATACTACACAGATACTCCAGTGCAGATATGTTCAGATACAAAGAGTGGGTGTTGTTATTTTCTATTTCAAGAAAGTATTTTTAARTAATCTTCATAACGGAAACTTGAACTGGAAAACTGAGAATTAAAAGAAAAATATATATAATTTTAAAAAATCATTTTGAAGTAACTTTTTGAAAGTGCATGGGTGTACAAAGAYGTAGGAGCAGTAGGAGAATCTTTAGAGGGAGCACTGTGAAATGCAGTGCTTCCCTCCAGTGCAAGGTTTTCATTTTCTTTTCTACATTAAAAAAACAAGAAAACACATGTATGTGATCACAAAATGCCAAATAAAATGTAGGATTTTGGATACCCTTAACAAGCAGTATTTGGAGTTCCAGTTTCAGATTTTGTGTTCTGTTTGAACTTGAGCTTTATACTTTCTTTAAATTGAAGTATGTGTTGAGTATACGTATTTCTTACTCTTTAAACCATCTTTCATTTTGCATAGATTGCTTATAACTTCACTTCTTTAAAAATGATTTTGRCATAAAACCAGACCAATGTACTTTTTCCTGGTTTTATGATAGTAGGTAGACCTTTGCCTCACTCCATGTAAGTTTTGGAAAGCATGGTTGTGTATGAACAGAAAAAGGTCCCAGATAATGTATTACAAGATCTGCTATTGAAATCTTTCCTTTTCAAGTGCCTAACAAATTTGTGTTCTGCCATTGAATGATGTGGGCTAAGTAGTATCTCACAGCTTCCCATCTAAATGATTTTTGTGTGTTTCTTTGAAGGTGTGCTTAGTGCATTAGTCACTGGTGTATGTAGGTTTTCAGCTACATTAAGATAGTGCTTAAATCCAGGTCTACTATATTAAACAGTCTCAGAATCATATTTTCTATGCCACAACTGCAGGTGAAGATTTAAACAGAAATTCGTTAACTACTGTGAAATATCTTTCTTATGTCTATTATTTCTTATATCTATCTAGGTCACTACCACCGATGGATTGTAATGGCCTTTAAAGTTATTTTTTCTATTGTTGTATTCCATTTTTTATTGATTTCAGATTCTCACCTCTGTACTGAGCCTGAAAGCTTTATTAGTAATAGATATTTGAATTAAGAATTTTATTAAAGTTTTCTTTTTTGTTTTTTTTTTAAAGGATATGGCACTTGTTGCTCCTGAAGCGCCTTCAGAACAAGCCAGAAGGGTTTTCCAAACGTATGACCCAGAGGGTAAGGCTCTACCTCTCACGGAAGTGAGATGTTGCGTTGAAATCTACTTATTCAGGAGAGACAAGCTTAAAATAAAAATTCATTCAGTATTGTGAGGGGTTAATCTCTTTGGAAAATAAGTGTTATTTTCTAAAACAAGTACTAAATATTGCACTTTTAAATGCATTGTCCTTTCTGCACCCAGTTATATGTTGTTTATGTCTAGGCATAGTATTAATTAATAGCTTAGTTGTCAATAAATGGACAGCTTTTCCRTACAGTGGTCAACATAAAAGTGAAATGAAGTTTTCTGAAAGCTTTTCAATAGGGGAAGTTTAAATACAACAGTACAATAGGAAGTAGAGTTAAGCTTTTTAGATTTGCTGTATTATCTGTAATTTATTCAAGACTTGTATGCAATTTGATTTATATTTTCATAAAATAACTGATCAGCTGCGGTGGCATTCATTATTGAATTCTCGTCTATGAAATGTAGGTGGCACCTGCTTCAAATTCTTTTGTTTTGTAAAATACAAAATGTCTTGCATTGAAGTATTATTTTAACTAACCAAAAGGAAAGTATATATATAAAGAAAAAGATTTACAATCATTATCTTAGTGGTATCAAGTGGCCATAGCTAGAAGTAGGTTGAAGTGTGACCAAGGCTTAAACTTCAGAATGCATGATGTATAAACAAACCCACAATCTCTGTATCACATTGCTCAACTTCTAAGAAAGAAATGGGGAGAAATGCATGAAGAACATGTGTTGATTGTAGAAGGTTGTCCTTTTGAGATAAAGATGCATAGTACTTTTATTTTTGAATAAAATTTGTTATTTTGGAAAGCACTTAGTTTCTTTTCATAATTGGAAGCTTTGTTAATTCTTCAGATAATGGTTTTATACCTGACACTCTCCTAGAAGATGTAATGAAGGCTCTGGATCTTGTTTCAGATCCTGAATAGTAAGTATAATAAATTTTAAGTACTGCAGAAATATTTTCTAACTGACTACATATTAGTTAGTATTTAGTTTTTTTCTGAAAYGTTTTCTTGCTTATGCGCTAGGCACAGAGCGTTATTCTTAAGTGCTTAAGTCAGCTTTAATTGAAATGAATTGAAATTAGACTGTCTCCAATGTGATAACTGGAAGCCAAAAAAAGAAAAAGAAAGAAAGGCAATTTACATTATCATATATGAATACATTTCCTAGCTGACTGGGATGTAACTGTACACCAGAAGACCTGAAGAACCAGCATGTATGGAGGCAGCTGAGCACTGGTTCCACATRTTGCTCCAGTTATATTTTTGTTATGACCAACAATTGGTACCTCATAGTCTTAATAGTTATCATTTGTATCCCGAGTGACACCTCTGTTTCCTAGGATTAGAGTTACAAATACTCAGTGAGCAAGGTAGTTTATTTTTGCTGTATGGGCAGGCAGTCTCCTATTCTGTGACATATTCAGTGCCAAGGCTTACCTACTGATCATGTTTTGCCACTAAGTGCTAAAGCCAGAAAGGACAGGTCTGGGTTTAAAATTACTTTYATCTCTCCAAAATGTGATTCTGCTCCATTGTAAGCTCAGGACCTCCTTTATTGTAGTTCAAATCACTGCTCCTGCAAAGTGCCTGTGAAGAGTTCAAGTTTACTTACCACAGACATCTGAAATTTGATTGAAGCAATTTCCTTTTGGATCTTACAAAGCACAACTGGGTTTACTGAGCTGTTCGTGATGTTCGTGAATAAGAGTAAAAATGGGACTCAAAAGGCTGTGGAAAGTAAAACCAAAATAAAATATATCAGACAAAGATGCTAGYGTTAGTAGCATGATAATAAATGATGAAAATTGCAAAAGTTTAGCAAGAAAAAAAATTACTTAAAGGGTCTGAAAAGCTTCCTTTTTTGCCTTTGTGTGTTCTGCTTCCTCAATAAATCTGGGGGATCTTCCTTCTCCATTCATCCCTTTTCGATGTTTGGGCTTTAGGGCACTTTGATGTAGGAAGAATCAGTTGAAGGGCCTGTTATTTTGAAAGGACCTCACTGGAGATCAAACTGTGGGATATTCATCTTTGAAACRTCTCTTATTAAACCAAAATGTTGCCTGACGCATATTCAGCCTATTCGGCTTTGGTCCTAGATGCCCCGTGTATTTACTGTAGAACAGACCTATAAATAGCACATTTCAAACTTYGTATAGGCTCTTCTGTTTTATTTAAAACTAAAGGCATGGCTTTACAGCATGCTATTTATCTTTTTGATTTTGAGAACTAAATGAAAATTATGTGCCTATGAAAACTGTATGTATGTGCCTATGAAAACTGAGGCTTAAAACTTCCAAATCTTAAAAGTTGGATCTGCACAGAGTTTAGGAAATATAGAGGGAAAGCTTTGCAGAGCAGACCTGGATTTGCAAGGAGATTAGCATTTGCAGTACTGAGCCAGTTCCCACAAAGTGATATGCAAATCTTAGTAAAAAATTGTAGTCTTTTAGTAAATAGTTCTGAGGACCCAGCTCTCTTGTTCAATTTMTTTTATCGGTTTCTAATTTTTTTCTGAAAGTCCTTAGGACATTGAGGTGAAAGGAAAAAAAAAGTGCAAATAAGTTATTACCACTATGTTAATACCAAGAAAGGTATCTACTTAAAAAAGAGGAAGTATGATGGTAGCCAAAAGGATAAGATGCTCGTGTATGACAATAATAAAAAAAATAGCTGAGAGAGACATTTTCTTCCTATATACCCCAGGAAAAAAAGTTGAACTGATTATAAGAAGGGCAGAGAAGCATGTAAGAGGTTGAGACTGTCCTTTGAAAAGAAAAAGTTTTGTCTTAATGAAAAAAACAGGGAAGAACATAAATTTGTGAAAAATTAAATGTAAATACAAAACAAAATAGACTTGAAAATCTTTTGAAGAATACCTCTGTTAAGATATGARATAAAACCAAGTAATATTTCTTCTAAACTCCTAAAAATTAAAAGATTTGTAAGAAGTCTCTAGGTCCTACCAGTGAACCCCAGTATTGAGAAAATATTCTAAGTTATTAAGAAAAGTGACTTGAATTCTTCATATTCACTGGGGAATACTTCACTAGGGAATTTTGTTCCTCATCCGTACTCAGTGTGGAAACTTAGAGGGAGATTTCTATACCTAGGCCTTCTTGTAGGTTGTCAGAAGAACTAAGTCTCTAAAGCATCAAGAAAAAAATGTGGAGAAATGAATGCGAGCAAATTGTCATCACCTGCTGACAGTCACCCTAGAATTCATACCCTCTATAGATAAGTTTTAGTTTGTGAATGGAGGTGATTGATGCCACAGGTGGATATGGGTTCAATGTGGCTATGAACCCATATCCACCTGTGGCATCAATCACCTCCATTCACAAATGGAGAGAAAAACCACGTTCCTGTGTGTTCTAGATGGGGCCTTTCACTGGAGAAGTCTTTGAGCAGCACACGCTGGAAGCGGGGAGGCTAAAGATACCAGTGGAGGTTTGCCCTGTTAGACTCTATCATGAGCATCCACTGCTGAACAATGTTAGAAACAGGATACTGGGCAAGGTGGTCTGTTGGTTTGACCCAGTGTGGACATTTTTGTGCAGTACAGTTTGTAACTAGGCAAAACAACAGAATAAATACGAGTAAATCTTTGCATTCTAACATCTGGAGATGTGTACTACTTAAATAGAGGCTTTATGTAGAGGCTTTATTGACATTCATTTCTAGTAATCTGAAATAATACCATATTCATGTCAGTAAGGTTTTGTCCTGTGTACATTTATCTTGGCATTATTAATTGTTAATTTTATCATTACTAATTGKTTTTGGCTTCTTTGATATCAAGGGCAGAAGTTAAATATGAAATGTGAAATGATCTGTGAAAATTAATTTCATTTCAATGTACTAAGTACTTTTTGGAGGCATTTTGATTCTCCTTGTACAAACAGGTTGCTTGCCAGTTACAGAGCTGTATTTAAAAGATGACTGTTTTATGTATCTAAGCTCAAGAATGTTTACAAGACAGCAAAATGCCTTTTGGGCAGTAAACCTGATTTTAGATTATATGGGTTTAAAATTACTTTACCAAGTATGGTGCTCTTTCAGAATTATCTCTTACTTAATTTGAAATATCAGATTACTTTTATTTTAAAATAACTGTGTTTTGGCAACTCAAAGGCCGTTCTGCTACATTTGTCACTTATGCTTAAAAATAGAGTAGTCTTAATATACTTGGCAGCTGGTACTGCGGTAGCACAGCTTAACTGAGTCATGCAAGAATAAAAATGCTCTGCTCATGCTTTTATATTCAATGTTTTTGTCATAGTGTAAACCTCATGAAGACCAAATTAGACCCCGAAGGACTGGGCATCATACTGCTGGGTCCCTTTCTACAAGAATTTTTCCCTGAGCAGGTAAGAAGTATAGCTTTATTACTGCTGAGCTTTGTGTATTTTGCTTCATGTAACATGTGCATCAGTATCACAGGGGTGTGTTTAATAAGTATTGYATTTGTTTCACTAATATGACCAGCAAATAACTTTTTGCACTGTGCAACAAATTGTAGAATTTCATTTTACATAAGAAAAGAAAGTTCATCTGAATTTGTATTTTGAGAATGAAATTGCCRTACTGATTTTGGCAATTTTACAGAAGACTAATGCAAATTGATAGTGAATAGGAAAGTGTTGAAAACATATCTAAAAGTATTTTTTTTTTATCTCTATTAACTTAAAAATGTTGATAAATTAGTAAAAAACTGTTACAGAGCTACATTTAGAATATCAATATATTCTAAAGCCAGCATCTGCTCACATCATAAGAATTTGTTTATAACTATTCCAAATACACGTTAAGACAGCACCACACCACTGAAAAGAGCATGYGTGAAGCTAGCATTGCAGTCCTCATCCTCACATTGTCAGGAACAGCTTTGTAGAGATACCTGATAAAGCCCAGGGAGCTGATCCGGAGGGGAGCCCCTTTGCAGGCCCGTGGGAGGCTGCCTGCGTGGCTGTACACATCCCTGTGTTGGCAGGAGGCAGAGGGTTATCCTGAGAACAGACAAACTGGCTGGCGGTGGCAAGGGAAGGCCTGAGAGGGGTGCTGCTTTGGAGACTTTTCTGGCTTATCAGGTAGTTTCAACTACACGACCTATTTTTTACAATGAAGGAAATGTGAAACTAGTGTTTTAAAAATACCTTTGACCTGGTCCCGTGTTAGAGATGTACAACACACTGTAGCCAAAGATGAWAAGAGCTGAGTGCATCATTAAGACATGATTCAGCGTCTAGACAAAAAGGCAGGAGTTGTAGTGTTCATTTCCTTGGGATTTACAAAACTGGATCTGCATCTTATTTGTTAACTCATTCTTCTTGCTTTCATTTATATATCCAGAMGTCGCAACATCTTTACAATAGGACATAATCTTATTTCTCACAATTATTTTACATTTACAAAGTCCATAGGACWGCTGTGTTTAATTTTAGGGCCAAGGTGCTTAGGCTGGAGCTTAGAAGGACAAAGGACATCCCCCAGAATTAGCAGTGCCTAAGCCATCCTTTACTGGGGACCACAGAAAGCTGCAGKAGGAAGCACCCCTTGTATGGGGGGCTGCCATGGCTCTGCTGCCTCCGTTTCCTGCTCCTGAATGGAGGATCACAGGAACAAGGAGAAATAGGGAAGGCAGCGTAGTGGAGTGAGGGRAGACCCCTTAGTCATTTTGAGAGAYGTGGTGGAKAAACTCTTTACCTCTTGTGAGGTCAAAGGCCTCAAGTCAAGGCYTCTCCATCAAGCGTGAATTCCCTGTTGCTCATTGCTCACTGTACCACCAGTGTGCCTTGCTTGTGCTGTTGGACCTTGGCCACCTCTGACACGAGGCACGGGAGTGCTCTGCACCGCCAGCACAGTGTGGCCTGGGCACTGCCAGAGTCAGCTTGTGAGTTAGTGCTGAGGTCAGGACATGGGTCCCACGTGTCTGTGCTCTCTGGGTCGGATAGCAGGAGCCCTTCCCCATAATGAGGCTGTGTTCAAAATTGTTTCCAGAAGTAAGAGTCTTCAGAAATGAAGATCAATATCTTCATTGAGATCAATGTCTTCAAATACTGTGAGGAAAGAGAGGCTGTCAATCGTGGTTGGAATTGTTGAKGTTCCCCTTTGTACAATGTTTGAGCACCGACCTCATGCTTGGGTAAAGCAGATTCAATTCCTCCTTTGCTGAGGATACTCAAATCCAAATTCTCATTCTCCTAGAAAGCCTTAATCACCAGTTTGAAGGAAAGAAGCAGATTTTTTTTCACTTTTTTTTTTAATACTGTCCCAAAGTCAACATCTGTGCGACAGGAACTGGAAACCAACACTTCTCAACCTTCAGGATGAGCATGCTCAACCTTCAGGATGAGGATGCCTTTGTCAGGGATAGAATGTGTGCCCTTTCTCCTTCTCAGCATAGTTTTATCTGTCCTTGTGAGGCAACTTCAATACGTGAGTTAGCCCTCACCCTTTTCTTCTGTACCCTCCCTGCAGTGAATAGCCCAGCTTGCTCCCCRAGACCCACAGCAAGATAAGGTGTCTGCATCACACCAAACTGAAGAGAAAAATGAATGAGGGCTTTTTGTATTCCCTGAGTGTACTGTAACTTGAGCAGATCTCTCTCCAGCCTTTACCTCCCAGTTTTTAATAAAGGGATAAGATTTTGTTTGAAGCCTGCTCCAGTAGGTATAATAGAGATGGTAAAACACCTGTGTATCCAAATTCAGCTAAAAGCAAAGCTTTTGGGGCTTTTTTAGCACTAAAGCATTCAAGCTCCTGGAATGTTTGTTTGATAACTGCAGTGTTTGTGCTGTTAAGCAGCAACTGAGAGCTGCTACAGTTAGTTTAGTTAGGCATGCTAAGATGCAAATTGCTCTAGCTCTGAAATGAAGGATGACAGAAAGGATTTGGCCATTAGTGAAGTAGAACTTAATAGCATCCAAGCAACTGGTCATACATTCACATAAGTGAAGCTGCTACTTAAGGTGTGCAACTTGAATGACTAGGACGGATTTCACATGCAGAGTGTTTTAAGTTACAATTTAAAGTGTTCAGACAAGCATTGAAAAACACAACTTGTTCCTAAAAATCTAGGGAAAGGAATTATACTATTTTTAGTAATCTACTWGTGTTTTCCTGCTCAAATGTTTCTACGTAGTTGTAACATGAAAGATATTATCAAGACAGTGTATATATTACATGAAATKAACTGTCTTCTTTCTTACCAGGACTCTAGGGTTTCAGAGTCATTCACTGTTTACCATTACAATGGACTGAAGCAGTCTAACTATAATGAAAAGGTAAGATTTGAGAAATGTAAATCCTCAGCCTCAGGTAACCATTAGCATGCAAACCTGACTCCCTTTATTGACATGTAAAACAGGCCATAATTGCAGGTAAAGTACTTTTACTGGAATCTGGCTTTTTACAAAATTACTCTTCAAATCTATTTTTCCAAATTGATATATTTGGATTGGAAGCTGCCATGTACTCCTGATCCTATTTTTGCTCGTATGCATCATCAGTTGGTTGGACCACATCTCTTAAGCTCTAGTTCATCCATGAACTAGACAAGTTAACTAGACAAGTCAACAACATGGACTAGTTCTAGTTAAGCCATTAGTTCATCCATGAGAACTGGGATGTAAAATACAGACGGCAGAGATTTGAGAGAGGCAAACTATAACTTCTGAAATTGCTGGGATTATTTTTTTTTTGTGTGAAATACTTTTAGTATTCCAAACTTGCTTCAAAATCAAGTTTTTATGAGAACAAATATATAGAGAGATATGTAAATATTTGCAGTTTCAGTTTTCTTGGGTATTATAATGACACATTTTGGCCGATTCTAAACCAATTCTGATTGAACACTTGGTGTAGAAGAATATGAGGAAATCGTAGACATAGAGTATACAGAAATGACTAGAAGTGGGAAAACTCTTGCAGAAAATTTATATATTCAATCTTCAGATTAGGCTGGAGTTATGAAGTCATTTCAGTTGCCATTTTAAAATATCCTGCAGTTCTCTACAGCAAAACATAAGCAAAATCGCTCATTTTTAATTTTAACATATATACATAATACAATGTGAATTGCTACAATTACAATTGTAATAATTACAATAAGCAAAGGCTTATTTTCAGGGAATTCTGTCTCTACCATTTAAAAGGTTCCTTTATGAATAGAACTACTGGAAACAAGACAATTTCTGTACCGTAAATTTTGGTCTGCTTTAGGTGGAAACAGTTCAAACATCATTAACATATTTCATTTTATTTAAAAAAAAAAAAAAGATTAAGTATGTAAAACCATATGAACTTGCTTCATGTTATAAAAATGCTTTATAACAAATGCTCCCTAACCATGTGTATATGATCATCTCAGAGATTGTGGACGAACACAGGCTGACATATTTGGGCTTGTTTTGACAGGTGATGTATGTAGAAGGCACAGCCGTTGTTATGGGTTTTGAGGAACCAATGCTACAGACTGATGACACCCCTGTAAAACGGTGCTTGCAAACCAAATGGCCATATATAGAGCTCCTCTGGACCACAGATCGATCTCCGTCCTTAAACTGATGCGTTTCGTATGGAAACCATATACTACTATCAAATGCTTGAATGGGGATGTAAGAGTCGGTATTCGCTTGGAAAGTGCTCTACTTTGACTGTGTGAACTTATACACTGGGTATCATTGATGAATTGTAAATAATGATTACAAACACTTTTTCAGTGTTAATTGGAATATTTAATTTTTTAATCAGATTGATTTCTATTATAATAGTTTGTCTCTTTTGGCCACTGTAGTGCTGTTAATGTGAGTTATCTTAAAGAAAAAAAAAGTTATAAAGTCTTGAAATTATTTTGCCATCTCATGAAGATTTGAAAAATGTCTGTTATGCAGAATATGCATATTAGATGTCAAATCTTTAAACCATAAAGCGTATTCAGCTTCCTATGAATCATACAGGCATGTTTATTATTTAAGTGGTATTGGCTTACATTACAGTACCATAATTTGTGGACTGGCCTTTGCACTGAAAATGTTTAAATGAGTTTAGACTTTCTGCAGTTTTTCCTGAAATCCAGTTTTACCTAAAGAGCTTGCACAATGTGATATAAATAAAATACATTTCTAGGACTATTACTAAGTATAATTCATAAATATTCTTCCTTGGCAGTTGTATATCGCTGTGGCTTAGTTATCAGGCATGCTAAAAGTGAATACAAAATCTGAAGAAAAAATAGATGTATTAATATTTATTTGAATTTGTATAAAAGAAATGTAAAAAAAAATCAACAGCAGAAAGAATTTCTTGTTCTATAATCTTTAAACTGTTCAAATTTATAATATTGCCAAATACCTCTTCTCAGTATGTCCAAACAGCAGTGTAAGCCAGCTTTATTGTATGTGTTAAGTGCATGAGAACATCTGTTACTACATTATTATATTCCTTTATTTATTATCAACTTGTTAGCCCTAAAATAAAATCTTTTCCTTGACTCATGATATAGTGTTTTAAGTTTGCTTTTTATCCGACTTCTGCACTGCCTGTTTTATGTGATATAAAGGGACCTTGGGTTTAGGAATGACAGTTTTGGAAATGAACACATCTCAGGGGAAAAATCTTGTATCTTAATGGTGAATTCAGGTCTTACATTAATGCCAGCAAAGCTGAGAATTCACATTTAGGTTTATTTTTAGATGTTTATTATTATCACCCCTTGACCTGTTCGCAGTGCCCTTCCTAAGGGCACTCTTACCAGAGTTACTCTTATCAGAGTTACTTCTGTTAAGAGTTTTGATTTGGACGGTGTTCATAAAGGTAAGATTCAAAACTGAGTGAATACTGAGTGCAGTTTGTCAGCGTTTCATCTTGAACTCACATCCCATCAACTGAGGGAAGAAGAAAGTCTTGTRTTAGTAAAATCAGCAGTCTAATGTCTAGCACGATTGCAGTACAGCTCAATGAATTTGTTGTGACTGAACTGGGCAAAAGCAAATGTTGCTGGGCTTTAAATTCCCAAACAGAGGAGAGCCAGCACATATGTGAACCTCATGGAAATGAGCCCATAATGAACTAGGCCACGCTCAAACCCCTCGTTGCTCTTTGAAGGTGCGAGCGGAAGGTACRAGCGCAGGTTCAGAAGCTGGCAATGCCGTAGCCAGTAGGAAATCCGTGCTCTTTTTAGAGCAGGGCCACACCGTCCTGTGCCCCTTTTGCTCCATGGCCATGGCCAGCTAATCAACCCAAGCTCTTGCCTGGGCAATGGCTCCACTTCCAGGTCGGGAGAGGCCTCCTTCCCACAGGGACATAACCAGGAGTAACTCGAGCAACAGGTGAGCTCTCCTGTGTGCATTGTAGACCTGCGCTTAATTACTGAAGYGGTTTGAAAGGATTTATGGCCATTAATTTTAACGGGATTTGTGACCTTAAAATCACACATGTGCAGTGACTTGTGACAGTTTTTAAAGCCAATATTCAAAGTACCARGCCCTCTACCAGTGTGTGGGCCACGGCCACAGCTGTTCGCCCCTTGAACACGCAGATCACAAAGTCTTTGGTCCCGAAGTGTTTCAAACTCTGAGGAAACGAAGATGCTTCCAAAGATCAGAATAGTCCAGGATATTTAGGAAAACTTCTGTAACTGTAAGCTTTAAAACTTAAAACCTTTTTTAACTGTGAGATCAGTGTTGACCACCCTAGCATCCCATTTTGAACAAACAAACAAAAAAGTAACAAAAACAGTGAATTTGAAAGATAAAAAGCATCCTCCCAAAGAAAGTTGCTACCCTCATCAAATCCAAGTCCACAAGGGACTTTAGGTATGAAAATTATTTGGTAGCAGCTGCTACTCTGATGGACAGGATGCTCACAAGGAATGCGGAAAGGGGGTGCTGGACCTTTTGAGGGCTTTCAAATCTGGAGATGCTCAATAGGGCTTGGGTGTTTGTGCTGCAACAACTAATGATACTTCATTCCCCCGGTGCACCTGGATACAGAGCGTGGTTTGGGAAATACCTGGCCCAAGYGGCCTTACAGGCATCGAGGTGCAGGCCGAGCAGGCCGGGGCACCAGGGAAGGAGCCGGAGCTGCCGCCCCAGGGCTGTGTTCAGTGGGGCTGGACTGCGGCGGGAGCGCAGGGCATGCGCTGAGATCCAGCTGCGCCGGGAGGGAAAGGGGAATCGCAGCGCCGCTCAGCCGTCTGGGAAGGGCGGCAGGAAGGACACGGGCTCTTGCAGAGCTCCCTGCTCWGCACGAGTGAAGTTTATATAGTTGGGCAAGCACTAACAGCAGCTTCGAGCGCCAGCTTGTCACCAGTTTGGTTTCCACGCTCTCCCAAAGGCAGATCCCAAGCCCGCACAGCTCCCGGGGCAGGGGGAGGCTCCGCCGCGCGCCCCGCGGCCGCCAGGGGGCGCCGGGCGCGGCCCGCGCGCCAGCCCCGGCCGCGGCCCCGCGCAGAGCGGCGGCCGCCTGAGGCAGCGCGGGGCGTTGGGCCGCCGCTCCCGTCCGCAACGCTCCGCAGCGCTCCGCAACGCTCCGCAGCGCTCCGCAACGCTCCGCTCCCCTCCGCCCCGCGCTGCTCCCGCTGCCCCGTCCCGGCCGAGGATGCCGCGCGGCGGCGGGCGGCGTGGGCGGCCGTGCGCGCTGCTCCTGCTGCTGCCCGCGCTGCTCTGGCCGCGGGCGCTCGTCGCCTTCAACCTGGACGAGGAGAAGCTCACGGTGTACAGCGGCCCGCCGGGCAGCTACTTCGGCTACGCCGTGGATTTCTACGTGCCGGAGCCCAGCACGTGGGTGGCGCGGCGGGGATGCGCGGGGGATGCGCAGGGGATGCATAGGGATGCACAGGGGGTGCGAGGGGGTGCACGGGTGATGCACGGGGGATTCGCGGGAGTGCACGGGGAATGCGCGGGGGATGCGCGTCGGTCCCCGCGGTCACTGTCGCCCGCCGTGCAGGGTGAGCGTGCTCGTGGGAGCGCCCCGCGCCAACACCTCGCAGCCCGACATCGTGCAGGGAGGAGCGGTCTATGCCTGCGCCTGGCCCGCGCCGCGCTGCCGCCAGATCCCCTTCGACGGCACCAGTGAGTGGCGCGGGGCTGCGCGGGGCTGCGCGGGGCCGCGCGGGGCCGCGGGGAGGTTTGAGCCCCCGTCGGAGTCCGGGGTCCTAGACGGGAACTGGTTTGGGGCACAGCGCGGGTGGATTACATGCACTTCCAAAGCCCCAAGGCAGATGTTTCTTATTTAATTAGAGCACACATTTTAAACAGCTCGGTCTGTTTATGCTTTTTTTTTTTTCTGTTGTTTTCTTTTTATAGGTCTTAAAAATAATTTAAGCCTAGTGTTCCCAGGGACATTAAAACGGACTGTTTTAATTTAGGCAGATTTTGACACTTAATCATTAAGCAAAATCATGATTCCATAGGTTATATTTAATCTTAGCATTTGCAACTTGTTTAAATGTGAGCATAACGCAATTCTGCCTTTTCCTAAGCGCACAAATTGAATTAGAAGGGCTTGCTTAAATATAGCGCGTACGCAGAGCAAGTCCTGCCCCGTCCCAGCTCGAGGCGTGTGCGCCCCCATCACTGTCACCGTGCTGGCATCCAGCAGCTCCGTCTCGGTGACTCTCCCTGCCCCAAAACAGGGAGAGGGCACCTGTTCCGAGCACTTACAGCATTTCTGTGTCACCCGCGTGTCAGCCCACTAGGGCAGGTAATGCAGGGYATGGTTACAACCTAGGTGTGGTTGTACCTAGGTATGGTTGTACCTAGGTGTGGGTGTACAGGTGTACCCACTAGCCATATTTTTATTATTCTGTGTATGGTATGTATAGCTTTAAAACAGAGCTTATATTGCAGTATTTTTATCTTATAAGGAGATTATTCATGTTTTGCACAAGTGGAGTATATTATCTTTGTAAAGGGACTTCAATTTTGAATAGAAAGCTCCCATATCCAATGAAGATTCCATTGCCTTTTAAAGGGGAATTGGGAGAAATGAGTGTGTCTCTAGTGATGAAGCTTAGGCCAACTCCTGTGCTCCTGTTTGAAACTCCAGGAAAGGTCCCTGGAATGCTCGGGACAGCTCCGCACCCTTTGGGTAGAGCTCTGCACTGGCAGATGTTCCCGGTGTCCGGTGACCGCTCCAGCGGCTCTGGCGCTGCGCCACGATGCGCTCCGGATAGGATGGGGAGCGTGGCTGAACCGGAGCCGGCTCCACRGAGCGGGAGGGAGCCCAGTGCACAGGCACGGGCGCACACAGTGCACGCGGGTGGGACTGCAGTGGGCAGCAGTGCTCCCGTTCCCGGTCTGATCCAGGTATGGAAGAGCAGAGGTGCCGGTCCTCACGGTTCAGCACTGGCCAGCTGCCCTCATGTGCAGAAAGCCCAGCAAGGTTTGCACGGCTTGCACCAAGCAGGCATTTCATACATGTAAGCGTGGACAGGAATTTAAGGCTCCCTTAGCCCCAAAACATTTTACTTGCAGGAGCAAGTTTTTGGTCCTTTACCACTATTCCCCTAAAGAGCRCAGTACAGAGACATGATAACTAGACTCAATGATGCTACTTTAAATAGTGTGTTACTCACAGTTCTTTTTGGAGCCTTTGACTACCATAGCTAATCCTTAATCAGTATTAGGGATGTTTTGAGATTGTGGTTCTTTCCTTTGCTCACTACAATATCCCTGAAAAATGCTGTTGCTCCTGTTTTATATTTACACTCACATTTTTCTATTTATTCTGAGAAACAGAAAAAAAAAACATTCTGGCTTGTCCAGGATCCTACAGGAAGTTGGTGATGACACTAGGGTCTGACTCTGGATCTTTTCAGACTCCTCTAGTGTCTAAATCACTAGATTATCCTTTCTCCCCAAGCAAAAACACCCAGTAATTATTATCAGACTGGGTTTTCAACTCTTACAGCTTGAATTTTAAAGGGTAAAGCTTCATGCCTCATAGGAGATTTGTAAGAGTCTTGGAAAGGTTTTCCAAAACAGAACAGAAAGAATATGCAGACTGCTTGAGGGCTGGAAGGTTTCATTTTGATGCATTGCTGTACAAAGCTTGCTGTTTAAGTACTTCTATCTAGAGTATTATCGGTTAGATTCAGAAAATACAGCAAAAGAAATGAAACTGATGGATAATTGGTCAGAGTTAAAAAATTGGGGAGCATATATATGATGCTTGTAATTTAACACGGCTCCACATATACTATATCCCAAGCTAGATATGTGACATGACTTCAGGTCACCTTTTATTCGATGCACGTTAGGCTCTGCCGTGGAGGAGGCAGCACGGAGAGCACTCAGGGGCTCTTTGTGCTTTTACTGCCAACAACGGCCGACAGAGCTCAGAAACAGAGAAAATTCAGGGGACTTGCACACTTTTATCCCAGAGC